CTTACAATTACTGCAAAATTCTCCAGATGTTGGAGAATGTCAGGAATTGCTAATTTACAAGAAAAATGTGTGAATTTGTCAAGTTTATCACTTACGAGCAAGCCATCTCGCATAAATAAACTTGTACTTATTTTAAGCTCACTTTGTAAAATTCGCTGGGATGATCATCATGCAAGTTTGATGTCTCAACCCGTCCAAGACCTCGACCGAATGTGTGTTTTACGAGCGCCGACATGGCGTTTATTTTTTGAAGCGACATGGTCTGCGTTTTAAGTGCATTGTTACCTGACAAATTGGTCCGGATTTTACAACCGGCAGTTGGAGGTTTCCCACAGGATACGGCTCATCGTCCTTAATCCGACCAGCATGATTTTAATTACATCTCTTTGTTAATTGCTTCGGAAAAAATTCAAACAAAATGTTCTGATTTATTGACTACTTGGATCTGACATTTGATAAATCTAATTTGAAATGTATTAATCCAATACTTGTTATTGGATTATCACATGTTATATGGCAATTCTTTTTTCGGATGCTTGTGTTTCATTATTGCTTAAGTCACTGAAAGGAAAATTGGATGCATTATCATTCGGAATAATCCGATTGTTCATTATTTGCCTCGCACGCAATGAGATTATTACCGAACGGGTTTCGATTTAGGTTGTTTTCAATTTTTTACGATTTTCTGGAACTTGTATTAAATACAGGGTGATTTTTGTTAGGCCCACATTAGAAACTTTTTAACTAAGTCTTTGAAATTTTTTTTGCGAGCAAAATCGACAATTTCTTAATTTAACTAAATTATTTTTAAAATTGCTCAACTTCCAGAACTACGACAAATTGGCGCCAACTTTGAAATTTTAAATGGAAAGTACCCATTTTTATTGCAGATTTGAATTCGCTTTCTCAAACTGAGTTAAACGAATCTAGTTTTTGACATATGTCAATTTTTTGTTGAAATTTTTATTTGCAAGGGTCTATTCAAAAAATCACAACTCTTGAATCTTTTGGAATAAGTAAATAATTTTTTTTTTGGTTTGGATAACTAAATGTTTGAAAAATCTTCTAAAGTAGCTTAAGATTGTCAACTCTCAAATTTTAAGGCTAATATGATTTTTTTGAAAATGGTTAACAAAAAACAACTATAACTCAGTTTTTTGAAATAGTATAAATCTATCTTTTCAACGGCAATCGAAAGAACATTGATATTTATGAAGACTTTTATCAACAAGTCCTATACCTATCGCTTGCAATTTTTGTAATAATCATAAAAAACGGATTTTATCGAATTATTTTTATCGTTAATCAAGTAGGCTTTGGAAAATGGGCAGTGGTCTGAACATTTTTCAAAGCCTACTTGATTAACAATGAAAATAAAAAGTCAAAACCCGTTTTTTTGTGATTATTTCAAAAACTGAAAGAGATAGGTATAGGAAATATTGATAAAAGTTTGTGTAATGCTATTTGAAAAACTAAGTTATAGCTGTTTTTGATGCTCATTTTTAAAAAATCATATTAACCTTGAAATTTGACAATTGCCAATCTTAAGCTACTTTAGAAGATTTGTCAAACCTTCGGTTATCAAATGCAAGGAAAAATTCATTTATTTTACTTATTTGCAAAGGGATCAAGAGCTGTGATTTTTGTATGGACCTCTGCAAATAAAAATTTCGACAAAAAATGACATATGTCAAAAACTATAACAGAGCAGTTGGATACATTTTACATGGATACATTTTACACAGTTTGAAAAAACAAATTTAAAAATGCAATAAAAATAGGGTGTTTCTATTTAAAATTTCAAAGTTGGCGCAAATTTTTTCATATTAATGTGCATCAAGTAGGTTATGCAAGTCTAAATGCATCTTTAATTTAAAGGCCATACAAAAAGTGTCAGTTAATGTCATTCAGCACAAATTTAAACACATCAATAATGACAAATATCTTTATGTTTGCTCCTCTATGTTAATTACATTTATTAGAAAAAATTATTTTTAGGGCCATGCCGTGTTCTCGATTAACACTAATCCCACCACTAATTCAAAAGAAATAAACTTTAGATGGTATTATTTTAGCTTGTTTTGACCGATTTGGCTTATTTTAAGTAAAATTTTATCAAAAATAAGTCAAAAACCCTAAACTTGATCAAAAATGGTGCTGTTTTACATTTTTTTTTAAAGTGTTAAGCACGTTTTTGTAATACATTTTTAGTCTTTTATGAAATGAGTTACATTGAAACAGTTAGAACCAGAACCAATTTAATTCCAAAATTACATTATTTGTGCTCTTTTTGGAGCATTTTAGTACGTTTTTCAGCCAGAAACGGAATTATTTGGTAAAATTTTATTTAAAAAACAAGGCGAAAAGTGAGCGAATTAGTCCAAAAATGAGGTTACTTTTGCCTTTTTCAAGTGTTAAGCACGTTTTTTTGAAATATTATAAAAATCCTAATGCCAGGGAGAAGCTTTCATTTCTGACTTTAGTACCAAAATTTCAGAAGCTGTGAAATGTGAAAAACAGACGGAGGCCATGTCGTGTTTTTGATTCACACTACCCCCACCAGCAAATAAAAAAAAACAAAGTGTTCATTGGAAGTTGAAAAGTTTCTAATGCAGGCCCTACAAAAATCACCCTGTATAATTTGGCAATATAGTCTTAATTATGGCCTCGGAAATGCTTCCTAATCGAAAACGGTTTATTAAATTGGATTCTCCCATTTATGTCACCCCAAACCGATAACTCTTTCCGGAATTATCGTCACGTACGCTCAAACTGATACAATTTTTTCTTTCCGGACAATTCGGCAATGAAAGTTATTCGAAATTAAACCTGAGACGATATTAGAACAGTAGGTGCGACATGGAAATTACGTTTTTGGCACACCGGACACGTCCTCTCCGATTCGTTATCTGGGTTCATCCAGTGGCGCATGTCGTATTCTACCACACAAAAACATAATGCTTCACTCCCACCTCGCGTATAAAAATCACATTTTAAATTACCTAAGGGAGTTTAAGATGGGGAAAAAAATGAGACGTTTGATATATTTGCCCGGGACAATGCTGGAATCTCATTAAGATTCTCCCTTTGAGGTTGCGAAATATTTTGCGAAACAAGGAAATTAATTCTAGACAAGTTAATCGTTTTACCTGAATAGTTTTAGTTTATTGATTGTGTCAAGAACGTGCTTTTAACTTATGACAAGTTGTTAAATAGCAGGAATGCAACAGACGTTTTGATGGGAGCTTCATCTCGCTGTTTTAATATTTGTATGAAATGCTAATGAAATTTATTATTGTTGAAATTTGGTGGATGCGCGGCTTTGGGGCCCATTCCCCCTTAATTGCTACTCAGCACAGGTCCCAGCATTGCCTTTATCTCGTCGTTTGGCACTTTGGTATTCCCTCGACTCGCTACCGAACACAATTCACTTTATTCTTTTTGTTGCGCCCTCGAACGTAATCAGGCAAATCTTGGTGGTCTATCACGAAAGAACGTTTGTTTATTCACTTGTGGCTTCCTGGAGTTGCTTGCACACGTGACACGTGTGTGTTTTTTTGTTCCAGATTCCCGAGGGAACAGCAGACCCTTCCCAATCACTTTTACTTCACGGACTACGAGCGCCACAATGCGGAGATTGCCGCCTTCCACTTGGACAGGTATGGAATTTATCAACTTTTGATTTTTCTTATTTAACCGAGAAGAGGTGGCACGCACGTGGGAAGAGATTTAAAAGTGGATGAATTTTTCATTTTTTTCAGAAATTTTTTCAGTGTAACAAGTCGATATTTCGCAGACGCGCTGAAATTCGGTTTAGACTCTCTTCTAATCCAGCAAGTGCATAATTTTTCAATTAAAATGTAAATAAGCATCTCATACGTTGGCCTAGCCCCAGCTAGTGTTATAAATAAATTAAGGGAATAATATCGTCGACAATTTATCGAGAAAATTTTTCGATACAAAAGAAGTGGACACAATGAGTGTATTGACAAGGCTCGCTTATCCAACATTTACGTAAAATATTAAAGGTATTGGAAGTTTTAACGAGCTCTAGCGTGCATTTACGGCCGACTTTCGGCACCCTCTTCATGAAAAATAAATCCGGGGTAAACTATAAAGTTACGATTTGTTTTTATTCGAGCTTTATTAAGAGGATGTAACTTTTCACGAGCACATTTCCGTTCTAATGACACCATGAATGCGAAACTCGGAAAGGTCAAATAAAGAAGTAAATAAATAATAATGCGGGTCTTCCACGTCCACTTTAAACGAAACTAAAAGTTGCAAAGTCGCTCCGGATTCCGGACACGAATCCGAATGACAAATTGCTTGCACTGTAACTAAGTTTGCATGATGAATGGGGGCCATTTTTGGCGTAATTAATATCAACGGAGGCTTTAGGGCTTCGTAGGGAGTTGATCAGTGACAGTTGATTATTTTTGTAGGCTTTTGGGCTTCCGAAGGGCCATGCCGGTGACAGGGCGATTGCTCAATATGACCACAGAATTGTACCAAAAGGCCGAAGGGGATTTACTCAAGACGTTTTTCGTGTCGCCGTCCGATAACCTGTGCTTTCATGGCAAGTGCACCTATTATTGTGATACTTCACACGCCATCTGCGGAAATCCCGACAGTTTGGAAGGAAGCTTCGCCGCCTTCCTGCCCTCCAACGAGATCGCCGCCAGGAAGGTACGAGCTTATCACGGGAGTTTAGCTACAGATAAATAATCTGAGAGCTTTGGATCGACTTTTTTAAAGAAAACCATTAGAATTTGAAATAGAGTTCACTCTTTATAGCCCAGTCAAATTAGACAAAAATAGGGCGATCGGTGGAAAAAAATCCTAGAGAGTTGGAATTTTTTTAAGCGCTTTCTTTATTCTTGGGTAGACTTTTTTTTTTTTTGCTTATATCTCGGAAACTATCATTCCTATAGCTTTTTATCTTTTTATCAAAATTAAAGCCTACAAAATTTCCTAAAAAAATGGCCCTTTGCATTTTTGTTGTAGGACATTTAAAAACATGTGCTTTATCCGTATTTAAAATAGAATTAATCTTGTGATTTGAAAAAACTGAAAGCAAATTGAATTTATTGGGTGCAACACTTCATTAGAGCGTCTATAAAGTCTTCCCAGTCGTTTTCATATGCTGCATCTTCGTCTCCACCGAATTAGTCTTTTTCAGTACAATATTTATATCGATGATTTGAATAAAGCTTACAGTAAATTGAATGTAAAATATTTTTTATTTCAGAAAGTACAGTTGAGGTTTTTTGTAACTAAAATATGATAAATACCGAGTAAATTACAGATTTTTTCTTCTAATTAAATCACTACTGTTACTCTGTTATTTTCATTTCGCCTAGAATCTCAATTATTTTGCTAAATTTTATCAACAATATTAAAAAAATTACCGAAACAGTTAAAAAGTTGTTTTGTTTTTTTTTACAAGATTTTACTAAATAGGATCAAAAAATTGCTAATTTGGGTCGAAAATTACTTTATTATTGCTTTTTACGACATTTTTTAGCTAGACCTAATTATTTTGCAAAATCACGTTAAAAACAATCCGAGAATTTTACAAATTAGGCCAAAAATGGTATTATGTTTGCCCTTTTTGAGTGTTCATACACGTTTTTGAGATAACTTACTTGGTAATTTACCATATGAGATCAAAATTATATTATCTTATTCACAATCACTAATGTAATATGCCGATTACTAACTAATATTACTTCTCTTGGGCGGTAATATGTAGGAGAGCCAACCTTAAAATTACAAAAATACCGGGAATTTTTTCTTTCAAATTGTCAAGTTACGTATAATATTTTGCTAAATTAGTATTTAATAGCTTTTGTAGCAGTTTTTTCCTACTTCTGGGAGAGTACACTGCTCCATTTCGACGATTCCAAATCAGATTCACACATTATTTCAATATTTTCTTTGATATTTCTGAAATGTAAAAAAATCAAACGCCATTTGGATGGCCTACCACGTTTGGACCTTAACTTTGTTAGAATTTTATTTTACTCAAATTTTTGACTGACAATTTTTTTCATACACTAAAAATCCTATAAGCCGCGGTGTTTTTGTGACTATGACAGCGAGAAAAGTTTGCTCTAACTATTACAGCGACAAAACGGAACCTAACTTTTGAAAGCGTCTGAATCTAGTAGGTCTGCATCATCGGATTTACGTATTCATTAAATTGTCTTACCGAATTACACTCAAGCTTTTGTTTACGAAGAAAAGTTGACATTTTTAATGCGAATTTTGTTTCCTTTAGGCAATTTCACTCAAAAAACTGTCAAAAACTCAGAATCAGTTTTTTTCGTTAAATTACCAGAAAACACAATTCTCACTAAAATATCAAGTTTACTTCGAAAAAAAAGCTCTCGTGTAATTATAAGTGAAAATAATGTGATTGTGCATAAAATAGCATACAAACCTCGGTGGTAATGCCATTATCCCTTGTGCTTTATCCGATCTCGAGACTATTGTTTACTGTACTATTGTTTATGTTTATATTGTTTTGATTTTTTGCAAGGTCTTTTCAAAACACGTTTAAAAATCACACACAACTTGAAATTGATGTTTTTTGTTTGACACTCAATTTAGCTCTTTTTTGAATATTTTTTTTCAAAAATAAGTCGAAAAACCACATTAATATGATCGAAAATCGTGTTTCCAATCAACAGGGAATAAAGTGAATTTTTATTTCCCCGTTTCTGACTAGTAATCTGGTATTTTCTTTTATCTGAAATAAAATAATGGAAACACCGAATTTTACTCTTAAAATAAATTGGAATTGAATGAATTTTGAGTGTTTTTTTTACAAACAAACTCTTTGATAACCGTCATACATCTTCATTTGGGTATCACATTACCAAGACATTATTATTTGTCAAAATATTTTTTTTTCTGTAATTGTTATTAATTTAGCTAGAAAATTGTGTATGCATCTTTTGAATAATAGCTATTTATATATTAAGGGAGGAAAGGCATGTATTCTCTAGGGGAAAGAATGAGGCTTTCCTTCAGTGTTATAGTATACAGGGTGCACCAGAACTCGCGCCCCAGAGAAAATTTTCAAGTAAGCTAAGATACCAGGAACATGAAAAAAATGTTTGAAAAATTCTGTCAAAAAATTTGGACATTTATTTTTTGACAGTTGACATTTTTTTATAACTATTTAATGATACTGATGATCTTGTGTATGTTTTTATACAATTATTTAGTAAAGGGACAAAAATTTTACCAATAAAAGCCATAAATAACGTTGAACAGAGTTACAATTTAGGATACAGCTTCCTTGTTTCCTCTTTTAATAGCCTATAGCAAAAAAACTTGAAGAATTATTTTTTTAACAGAAATAAATAGAGTCAAAGTGCAAATTTTAAACCCTCATAACCTCGAAATTTTTTTAGATAATTTTTTTTTAAGATTTTTTCCATGTTTTTGATGGTTTTTACCTTATATGGCATTTTTCTCTGGGGCGCGAGTTCTGGCGCACCCTGTATATGATGTTTCGGCGGCGCCCTTCCCAAAATACCAATAAAAATTCAAATAAAGGATAGAAATTAAAAATGATTACCTAATTTTGGTAGGTATAATTCAGTTTCCATCATAGAGTACAAAGGTTTCTTAAATATTGTTGTTATTTGTAAAAAAAATGACGTTTGTTTTTTCAATTTCACTTATTCGTTGCAAATAATCAAAAATACGCGTACAAATAAAATAAGTAACTTAGAGAATGAACTAGAAAAACACATTTCTCAAGACATCTTAGAAGAGGCTAATCCAGTGTCACTAAATTTACTACCTCAAAAATCACGTACAAGGTCGAAAAAAAGTTTATTAAATTTTTAAAACATCACTTTGTAATAGTTATTTATGCAACCAGTTTGAGTGTAAATCGGACGTTTTATTTCACGAATGGAGTTTTATTTAAACCACGAGTGTTAACAAGGTGGAATAATTGAACCGATTTACACGAAGACGAGTTGAATGCAGCATTTTATTCTTTGAATTAGACCTAACAAGGCTTAAAATTGCTTTAAATCTGTTAAAAATAATCTGACGTTTCGTATTGAGAAATGCCAAACAGTTTCTCCTTACACAAAAGAAAAACCGTAAATTTTGACATTGTCGAAGAATAAAGGTATAAGGAAGGGAATATTTTTCCTCCCGAGGGAGGAAAATATTTTCTTTCCTCGGAAAAGATTAACGTACTTTCATAGGATATTTTGAGAGTGGAAAACATTTTTTTCTGATAAAGGTGTGAACTTACCTAAACATTCTTGTGAATAAAAAGCTGTTTATTTCCTATATTTTATCTTTCTCAAGCCTTTGAATTCGTTTTTGAACTTAATTTTTATTTTTATTTTGGTGATATTACACTAAAACACACCCAAAAAATTACCAACAATTGATACGTAATGATAAATTTTCTGTGTTTTTTTTTGTAGAAAGAAAAATGTTTTTCTTAACACCTTGTATCTTGTAACCTTTGATAAAAAAAATTACACCTAATTATGGTCACCTATTAATAATTGATATTTGATTCGCTACAAAAAAATTGTTCATTTTTTTCATCATATAAAATCAATCTGCAAAAATTTTAATTAAATTAATCTTTAAAAATTTTAATTTTAATTGAAATTTTAAAATTTTTTAATTTTAATTGGAAGGGGTGTTTTGGGGGATGCGAATAAGTCATTTGAAAATCACCGCGATGGCGGGCAACGAGCCGCCTAACGAAAGTGCTCCTGATATTTTCCTGAAATGTTGCGATTCTACAAAACTAAAAATTGTTATTTGTGTTTTGTGCGGTGCCGCGTTTCATAGAAGCTGTTTCGCCAAGAACAATAACATTAAACTCAGTGATGCAAGAGTCCGTTGTAATGAGTGTGTAAAAAGTGGCAGAAGTTTAACACCTACTCCTAATTCACAAACCGTGTCTAATACTAACCRATTGGAGACTGAGTTATTGAGAAAAGAAAATGAATGCCTGAAACGTGAACTGGAACTCCTTAAAAAATCAGTTAATAATTTGGAAGAATTGGTACATCTGCAAAAAGCAACCTTGCAGCGATATGATAGTGTAAAGCAGATTGCCGCTACACCTGCACCGATAGCTTCTTACAGTGAAATCGTCAAGAAAGACAAAAAAACCTCAACGCTTCTTATCACTTCAGCTGACTTAGTAAACACAGCTGTTGAAAATACAGTCAAAACGGAAATTAATCCTGGGGCCCTCAAAATTCATGCTACAAGATTGATTAGAAATGGTATTCGTATCGACTGTGATGTTAATTCCGTTGCTAAGCTTAAACAACATCTTGAAGAAAAGGTWGGCTCTACTTGTGTTATAAAGGAACCAGTCAAGTTCAACCCTCGCATTATGGTTTTTGACGTTGATGAGCCGACTGCAAAAAGTGATAATCTGATCGAAAATATTGTTAATGCCAATGAACTTGATTGTACAAGTAATGATGTTACTTTAATTACTACTACTAAACCTAAAAATAAATCTCGTGATAACCAAACAAAACGATCAGCAACCCTTGTAGTCAACTTAGTCTTGGAAGTAACTCCGGAATTGTTTAAACGTTTTATAGATGCTGGTTCTCTATATGTAGGCTGGAAAAGGTGTAGGGTTAAAGAGCATATAAATTTATTACGTTGTTATACTTGTTTAAAAATTGGTCATTCTTCAAAAAATTGTAGATCTAAGCGTTTAACTTGTTCCAAATGCTCAGAAAATCATCAAAGTATTAATTGTCAATCCCAAAATTTATGTTGTGCTAATTGTAAACAGTATAATACTAACTTTCTTAAAAACGTTCCTGTCGATCACTCTGCATTTGATTCAAATTGTTTTTATTATAAATCACAACTTGAACAATTTCGTAAAAAGATTATTTATAGTTAGTTAATTTACTGTTGGTAATAAATTTACTCACATTATATATAAAAATTTTGATTCTAATTATTATTAGTTTACTTATATTATTTACATCAATCTTCTTCCTTAAAAATGAATTTAAWTAAAATAGCTCATARCAACGCAAGATCGCTACTGGCTGGTTTTGATTTATTTGTTTCTTCAGTTATTGAAAACTCATTTGACATCATATGCGTATCGGAAACGTGGTTGTCAGAACAAGTTCCATCTGATGCAGTTCAGCTACCTCATTTTCAAATGTTTCGTAAAGATCGCTCACTTAGGCGGGGTGGTGGCGTGGCTATATATCTTAAAAATACTTTAAATGTAAAACTTATAGATGAAAACATTGACAATTGCCCTGATGGTGTTGATTATATATTTGTAGAAGTAAATCTCAGTAAATTTTCATTTCTTCTGGGAGTTTTTTATCGTTGCCCTTCGCAAAATATTAATCTGTTCTCAYATCATCTTGAASYTMTMWTYTRTTWRRTRTRWRCTWAKRTKYAMRKMAMRWTAWTWTWATATTAGGTGATCTTAATGTTGATCACAATTTTCAAAATAAAATTTCAGATTCTTTTCATTCATACGATTTTGTTCAGTTAATTAACGAGCCCACTCGAGTTACTAGTACATCACAAAAAATTATTGATGTTATCTATACAAATTTTTCTGATAAAGTCTTGTCGTCTGGTACACTTGATGCAGATCTCTTTTCTGATCATAAAATTATATATTGTGATCTCAAATTTTCAATTACTAAAACGTTACCTAAAATCATTACTTACAGAAACTTTAGATACTTTTCTTATGAATACTTTTATAAGGATTTAACAAGTGTTAACTGGGATAATATTCTTTACATAAATGATATCAATCATAAGGTTGATTTTTTCAACAGCAACATAACTATGCTTTTTGATAAACATGCGCCTTTTATTACGAGAAAAATTACTAAACCTTTTGCCCCATGGTTAACCGATAACATCAGGCTTATTATGGAACTAAGAGATTCTGCACATCGTAAATTCAAACTATCTAAAAATGTTGCTGATTGGGAATATTACCGACAGCTTCGTAATTACTGCGTAAGTGCAATCAAAAAAGAAAAAAGAGCCTATCTTTCACTAATTAATAAAAATAAAAATGATAAAGTGCTTTGGAAGACGTTGAAACAACTTAACATAAAAAACAATCAAAATACAGATATTCCTTCTAATCTTAGTGACGTTAATAAAATAAATGACTATTTTCTTTCTGTTTTTAATTCTTCTGAGCCGTGCAATGAAACCTTAAGGTACTACTTAGAAAATAGATATAAAGAAGGAATCTCTTTTACTTTTCGCCTTCCAACTTGTGATGATATATTGGATWCAATATCAAAACTTCAGTCTAACGCAACGGGTGTTGACGGCATTAATGCTAAAATGATCAAATTATGTTGTCCGTTTATTATTAAATATATCACTCATATRATTAATTGTTGTCTTGAGTCTGGTTRCTTCCCGGCTCATTGGAAAACCACACTTGTAACTCCCCTACCTAAATTGACTAACCCTAAAAAATACAGTGACCTCCGACCGATAAGTCTTATACCTACAATGTCTAAGATTTTAGAAAAAATTATTTATAATCAAATCATAGAATATGTTAACCACAATAAAATTCTTTCTCCTACGCAGTCTGGCTTTCGAAACTCTTATAGCACCAATTCATCCTTAACACATATTTTAGATAATATTATTAGAAATAGAGATGAAGGCATGTGTACTGCTCTAGTTTTACTCGATTTTTCTAAAGCCTTTGACACGATTAACCACTCACTGCTTTGTGCCAAACTTGTCTTTCTTGGATTTGATTATTTGTCAGTAAACTTTTTTGCTTGTTATTTAAAAGATCGTTTTCAGAAAGTAATTTTTAATAACCATGTATCACATTCAGGACTAGTCTCGTCTGGGGTTCCTCAAGGCTCGGTCCTGGGGCCTCTATTATACTTATTATATACTTTTGATATTTCCAATGGCATCAATTATTGTACTATTCATTCCTTTGCTGACGATACCCAGCTCGAATTCAAATTTAATATTCACACCGTTGCTGCTGCTAATGATTATATAAATCATGATTTTGACTCAATTGCTCGTTATTCAGAAAAACACAATCTAAAACTCAACTCTGATAAATGCTCTATATTATGTTTCAGTTCTAAATACGACCTAACTTTACTAAAATCCACTATCAATATAAGAATMMGTGATGTATCTATTAAACATGTCGATAATACCAAAATTTTAGGAGTAATATTTGACAATGATTTACGCTTCAAAAACCATGTTCATTTAATAGTGAAGAAATGTTACTTTCGTTTGAGGCTTCTTTACCTAAATTACCATATAATAAACTACAAACTACGCAAAAAACTCTCTGAAACTTTAGTTCTATCCGTAGTTCGGTACTGCCTAAATGTTTACTTTCCCTGTCTAGATAGCAATTATAAGAATCGCCTTCAACGCATACAAAATACTTGTTGTAGATTTATATTCAAACTGCGTAAATATGATCACATATCCTCTAAGCTAAATGAGTTGCAATGGTTMAATCTCGATTTGTTATCCAAATATCAGTTACTTGTTAATGTTCACGTTGTTCTTAAAACCACTTCTCCTCCCTACCTTTGTGATAAACTATTATATAGGTGTAATTTRCATAACGTTAACTTACGTCATACTTCTGCTCTGTCTATGCCTCGTTTCCGAACTAGTTTGTTTACGAGATCTTTTACCTTTAATGCTGTCAAATTATATAATTCTGTACCTTCTGCATTTAAATCAAAATCAGTAAGCAGTTTTAAGAAACTTATTAAGGTTTATTTATTACCATCAGCATGATTTTGATTCTTAGTTATTTTTATTTGTTTTCTTGTTGAATTGTATAAAACGTGTTAATTTGTTATTCATTTTATTTTTAATTTCAACGGAATATATTATGTTTGCTTTAGTTTCTTAGTTATTTTCATTTATTTTCTTGTTGAATTGTATAAAACGTGTTAATTTGTTATCATTTTATTTTTAATTTCAACGGAATATATTATGTTTGCTTTAGGAATTAAATTTATTGTAATTGCTTCTGCTAGGGTTAAGTGGAGTAGCATCAGCTAGACTTCGCCATAGCAGAATGCCAATGTGTATTAATTCTATTTAATTAATAAAGGCATTTATTATTATTATTATTATTATTTGATACAATATATCACTTTTTCTATATTGTGTAGAAAAAAAGGTTTTAATTCAAATTTATTCTTGCTAATAAACAAATAAATACCTATGTAAAAATTGGTGTTGGTCTGACTTCTTTAAAATGTACAATCCTGGCTTATTTAAATTAATAAAACTGTCTTTAAATCACCGCAAAATGAAGCTACAATTGTAAACACTTAATCCTTTAATCCTCTTACCCGCTGTTTGCGCAATCCTTTATCGTTTTTTTCCTGAAAACGAACCGAAATTTGCAAAAATCCCTATCTTTTATTAATCTCCCTGTTTATTTCACATTGACACTAATAAATAAGAGTAAAACCTCGCTTAGACGAAATTACATCGTCCTATCTGGAAATGAAATCAGTTCTCATTTTTTTCACCGATATGATCTTTCAGGTATGGAGACATCCTTGGCGGAGATCTTACCATAAACGAAGGAAAGCTCAATGGGAGACTGAAGACAATTATTGTTCGTTAGTTAGAGAGATCCCACCGTACGACCGAGGGAGGCGGCTTTACGACCTAATGGATATGGCCGTATTGGACTTTCTAATGGGTAATATGGATAGACACCATTATGAGACATTTAGGTTAGTTTATTTTTAATTAAAGCTTGTTTGGGGATTAATGGGAGCGGGTTTTGGCAGATTGTTCGGAAATGACACGTTTCCGTTACACTTGGACCACGGAAGGGGCTTTGGGAGGCCCTTTCACGACGAGCTGTCCATTCTAGCGCCGATCTTGCAGTGCTGCATGCTCAGGCAGTCCACACTGCAAACCCTCATGAAGTAAGTGAACCAGCAGTTAGTTAAAATTTGTTTTTTACTACTAGTTGTAAAAAGTAACATTATTTAGTTTGTCGAAAAGTTGTGAAGTTGTTTTTTTCTCCTAGTGGTCAATAATCATTTTCATTATAGACCAAGGGCAATAATGGATTAGAGGTGGGTAAATACCGAGACTGGAGGGTATTCTATAGATACAAATATCGAGTCATCTTTGGATCTGAAAACGTACGTTTCTTTTTAAACTTCAAATAAAATGACAAGTCGAAAGGTAAAATGGTGAAAAGTTTCAAACACGACTTTATTATCTAAATTAAGAGAATTTTCAACAAAGAAAGAACATTGAAGTATATAAAATATAAAATGTTCTCCGTTTTCTTGTAACCACAAAAGCACTCTTTGTCTAACTCCATCTAACACAGTTCGCGGTATATCTGGATTATTATTAATTTTATTCAGTTATTCTTAACCTTAATTCTTGCAAGTTATTAAGAGCTGTGCGATAAATACATTTTTTTTTAATAAAGCCACAAAAAAAAGACGAGTAAGGTCACAGGATCTCGGAGATCAGATATTTTTTGTGTTTCGACTAATAAGTCTATTGTAAAAAAATTCGCGTAAATAGTTATTAACAAACCTCCAAAATTTAAGGTTACGTTTATGAAATTAAAATGCCCGTAACTGAATTTTTTCAAATGGAAGACCCCAATGTTTTTTCACTAAATGAAAGAGAATTTTAATTCTGCATCGGTCTGTGATTTGTATCAACATTCTTTTTTTTATAATGGAAGAAATTCATTACTATTCATGGTAGTTTTCGCATAGTTTTCCAGGAAATATTTTTCAAGTAAAACACGCCAAGTTTTTTTTCACAATTGTGTTATTCTTTTCGAAAATACAAATTATACAGCGTATTTCACGAGTGATAATGAGCCTGAACAAATTTGAACTGCAGCCAGCAATACATTTGCATAGGCTTCATGGATTTTCATTATGAATTTTAAAATTAATAAAACATAGTTATCGCGTGACTGACACCAAACAAATTGACTAGACAGGAAACACAATTTTTAAGGTTATTTGTCTTTCCATCGTTGTAAAACACTTTTTTTCAAGCCTTTTTCTATTCAGGAAATATTTTCTTTACAAAGGTTCAACGGCAGAAGCATTTTTTCCAAATTCGCCATAAATTAGAATCAGATCTGTTTTCTCATCGTTCGAATGCATTTGACTTTTTGCTAAATTAATGTCAGTTGTGACAAAATTATCGAAGCAAAGTTATCGTGGATTCATAAATCTAAATAAAACTAAAATATCCACGTTAACTTTGCAAATGTATTGTGGGTTGTATTTTCAATTGCGTCAGGCTCATTATCACTCGTGAAATACCCTGTATTTATTTAATCTAAATTTGAATAACTTTGATATTCTATTTTTTTCTTTCTATGACAACCTATGTTAAAGTAGCTAAGGCTAATGAATTTCTGACAATATTAAAAAAAGTTACTATAACCTGGAAACTATGAAACATAGGTATAGACCGACGCAGAACTAAGTTCCCCTCCATTTAAGGAAGAAAAAATTGAGGTGTTTCATTTAGAAAAATTGTGTTAAGGCTTGGTTAAACGTATTTCTCTTATGGCGTTTCCAATGTAAAAGAATTGCGGCTATAATTGAGTTATTTGAAAAGATATCAACGTCGTTTAAAAACTCAATGTATCTTAGAAATGATATCTACAAAATGGCCGAAACAAAATTTAAAAAAATATGATACTTATCAAATTACAGCTACTTAAATAAACACCTTTTTGGACTAAAACACTTATAAAGACACCCAGGCTTCAAAATGAAAAAACTCTTCGGCCGTTCGGTAGAGATTTTTATTTGAAACAGCTTGGTGTTTTTAGTTTTTTTCTGTTATTAAAAATAAGCTTGATATCGCGACAATTCTAATTCGTTGGAGCACAAAATTTCTCGAACGATGATTTGTATTTGAAGTTACCTAAACGTAACCTTACATTTTGGCGTTTGGTTAATTATCTTTCCAATTATGAATACACTAAAGGAAAGATATAACCTTTTTCTTTCGTATACACAAATACGGTTTCAACATAATAAATGATGGTAGAGTTACCAATTTTTGAATAGAATGATTCAGATCCAAAGATTTTTGAAAAGGTCTAAATATTTTGAAAACGGTTAAACTTAGATATAAGGAAGGTTAATGAAAACTCTCTCAAAATCACTTGAGTAAGCCAAAAACGCAATGAAAAACATAACTTTCTATTTAAAATAACGAAGTTAAAATCCACTTCCGGTGTAACAGGAAGTGCCGCCACCTTGAAAATATTTTCATTGAGCAGAACCTAACCGATTATAGCTATAAACAAAGCTATAAACGAAATTTTAAATAAATATTATTGTTAGAACTACCAATACTTCTAATGTGGAGTTTAGCCGGAACAGCCTGTATAAAACACGCATCTCAGGAAATAAACAGCTCTTTTCTCTACCTTGTGATATAATATACTATTGGTATCTCATTAAAACGTGACGTGAATTAACAGTGACGCGCCTCAGCCTAGACAGAAATCGTTATTTATATTTAAATCGTCCAAATTCAATTTACTTGTCTTGGTAGTTTCGATTTTGTTAAACACGCTCTCTCTTGTCGAAAAATAGCAAAAAGCGAACAAGAAAGCAATTAAAGTTCAGTTCGACGTGTAAATCTCGTGAGCTTGATTCGGGAACGAACGTTTCAGTTTTTTAATTATAGTCTCATAGAATCGCGTTGATTTTATGTGAAAACGGGAATAACGAAAGCTGGCTTCGAGCTATCTCTTGAGAATCGACCGGCCGCTTAATAGAAAAGCGAGATTCGCGTGTAACGATAGCCATTTACGCTAATTGCGTTCGGAAGAAAGAACGTGAAGGATAAAGGGAACGTCGAAGAGGTACATCAGGACGTTTAGTGGTCGTAAAGCAGGTTACAAGCGAGACAAAGTCCAAAATTGTCGTAATCAAAACTAAAAGTAATTTTTCAATTGCTCCAAGAGCGTTTTTCTGGTTCTTTTGGCCAAATGTGGGGTCCATCGTCTTTGCTGTGTGCTTATTGAAGTTTAAGCAGCTCTTCAATTGTATAATTCAACAGCTAATGGAAAAGAAATGCGGCTATTTCAAGCTCTTGAAAAGAGAGAAGTTTTCTAAGTGTCACTCAAGTAACACTTTAAAAACTTCTGCTACTTTTCTCTTCCTGAAAGACACAATTCTCGGAGTCATAATTACAAATTAATCACTAGACAATTACATAGTCTAACAGACGTTTTGCTACCGGCGATTTTTTACCTGTAAATTTTTTATATAGAATCTGAAATACCCGTCTTTGGTCTGGTTCCTGATTTTTTTGGGAATAAAGTCATTTTATCATTTAACATTTTACGTTATTACTATCACCTCTAAGTGTGCCAATTAAAAAACTAAAAATACAGAGTAAAATATTTATTTTGCAAAGAAGGTATACCAGGTGAACAAAAAGTGCGGAACTAAACGTATTTAGTTAGTTTTGAAAAAACTAATGCATAAATGATAATAGTATGTTATTCAACGAGTGAGAAAGTTGGTCAGTTCCAAGATTATTTACGATACGAGCCGAAGGCGAGTGGAGCAATTCATCTGAGTGGAAATGGCCATTTCTCACGATTTGATACTATACTTTTTCTAATCTTAAATAATGAATAATATTTCATTTTATATTTTCTTTTTATTGTCAACATACACATTAACCGATTTTTTTTCCACAATTTGCAATTTTCTCCTTAATTGAATATTGAAGAACTTTCTCAACTGAAAAGTATAAATGCATTAATATGATTAGAAAAAGTACTAGAAAACTGTGACGTTTAGTCAAGAATAAAATTTTTCGAAAATTGTTTTGTTCTGCAAAATTTTAAATTATTTAAATGACAACATATTATAAAATCTTTTGTATAAAGGCTATGATCTAAGAAGTACGACTGTTTACATTTTATCCAGTTTTTATCGAAAAAACGTTTCATTGGATTTGCCATTTTGAAAAAAATTGCTGAAACAAAACAACATTTAATTTATTTATTTTATTTATTACTATACAGGGTGCCCCCGAACTCGCGTCCCAAAGAAAAATGTAATGTAAGATACCAAAAACCTTGGAAAACACGTAAAAAAAATTCTATCTATAAAAATTTCGAAGTTATGATAGTTTAAATTTTGCACTTTGACTCTATTTATTTCTGTTGGAAAAATAATTTTCCAAGTTTTTTTGCTACAGGCTATTAGAAGAGGAAACAAGGAAGTTGTATCTTAATAAATTACTCTGTTCAATGTTATTGTGGCTTTTATTGGCAAAATTTTTGTACCTTTACTAAATATTTATGAAAAAACATAACAAGATCATCAGTATCATTAAATAGACATAAAAAAATGTCAAATATCAAAAATGAAAGGTCAATTTTTTTTGACAGATAGAATTTTTTCATCTTATTTTACTTGAAATTTTTTTCTGGGGTGCAAGTTCTGACACACCTTCTATGTAATATTATAAAATTTAATAAAATTATTATTTTCTGAAAGCCAATGATTTAATAAAAGGTCTTATGAAAGTTATTTGTTATTTAAAAGCGAAAAATAAATTAGTAAAAAAGATCAATTATCTTGAAATAAATGTAAATTGATACATCTTTGGGTAAAAAATAAAAGTAACAATTATTTAAAACGGTCATATATATTCGCTGATCTTATAAGACAAAATCAATTACATTTGATATTGTTTCTCTAGGAATAGATTGGACTTTTTTAAAGCAACAAAATCACTAAAAATAAACTAAAAAAGTAAAATCAAAAGAAAATGTTGGAATTATTACCTATACTTGATAACTAATATAAAAATTACGCGACGACCCAGTCTTTATGTACTTTTTTGTCAATTTTAACGTTTTTATGACTTGAAAAGTCCACTTTTGATTGAAAAA